ATCTATCTATCTATCTATCTATCTATCTATCTATCTATCTATCTATCTATCATCTATCTACCTACCCACCTACCCACCTACCTATCATCTATCTATAGAGAGAGAGAGATCTTAAAGCGTTAGGGAAGAATTCTCCTGAGAATTAAGATTTTGGAAAAGACAGACAAGAGTTGGATCTGTGTTTCTCAAAAAAGGCTACTGGAAGATTATGTGAACGTCAAGTCTCAGAATTCTGGGAGTTGAAATCCATCCATGCTGAAGGGAATTCACTCCTTCTGGCTAGGATTTCTGGGAGTTGAAATGATCCATGTTGAAAGGACCGGAAGTGATGACTACGGAATTCTGGGAGTTAAAGTTCACCCGGGGGGAATGGGAATTCTGGGAGAGGAAGTCCACTCATATTGAAGGAACTGGAAATGATGACTAGGGAATTCTGGGAGTCAGTTCACCCGTGATAACAGGAATTCTGGGAGTTGAAGTCCACCCATGTTGAAGGGACTGGAAGTGATGACTGGGGAATTCTGGGAGGTGAAGTTCACCCATATTGAAAGGAGTTGAAGTTCACCCATGCTGGCTGGGGAAATCTGGGAGTTGGAAGTCCACATATCTTACAATGGCCAAGTTTGAGAATCGCTGCTTGGATCCACTCCGCAGGGAATGGTGTCCAAGCCAGACTGGAAGCTCTCTGCCTATTTCCTAAGTCCTCCAACCAAATTCCGAGCATCGCTGACGTCTTTCTCCTTGCCAAGAGCCTCCGAAAGGGCAGCTTCCCCTCTTCCCTTCTGCAAAATAAACTAAGCAAGGAATCTCAGAGAGCTTTGGCACACGTTCTGCTAGAGAACGAGAGAGAGAGAGAGAGGGAGGGAGAGAGAGAGAGAGAGAGGGAGAGGGAGAGAGAGAGAGAGAGCGCGCCACTCTCTCCCCATTTCGGTTGGGAAAGCTTGCAGGATCTTGGCTCGGCTCCAATTTTACTTTTTATTATTTTTCTTTTTTTGCACTTTGCAATCTGGAGGGAATCTGGGAGGGGCCGAGCGGGTCTCTGGGAAAAGCCTCGGCTGTTTTTGCATCCGTTACAAGAAACGGAACGACGCCAAGGAAAAAGGCTGGCGTTCAGCTCAATGCAAGGGCATGCCGGTTTGCAAAGCGTGGGCCCCTCTTTTGCAAGACCCACGCCCCTTTAAGATGTGTGACGGGGCAGGGGGGGGGCTGGGGGGCCACTCAAAGACCTGCCCTCCGGCTGAGAGGTCCCGGTGCCTGGCCTCCAATGACATTCAACTAGATGACAGCTTAACAAAGCCGGAAGGGACCTCGTAGGCCATCTAGTCCAACCTCCCCCTGCCCAAGCAGGAGGCCCCACACCATTTCTGACAGATGGCACTCCAGTCTCTTCTTGAAAGCTTCCAGGGATGAAGCTCCCACAACTTCCCAAGGCAACTTCTGTTCTACGGGTGGATTGCTCTCCCTGTCAAAAAATTCCTCCTTATTTCCAGGTTGAATCTCTCCTTGATCAGTTCCCATCGTTATTCCTTGTCTGGCCTTCAGTTGCTTTCGAAAATAGCTTGACCCCCCCCCCCCGCTCCTCCTCTCTGGAGCAGCCCCTCAAATACTGGAAGACCGCTCTCCGGTCTCCCCTGGTCCTTCTCTTCCCTAGACCAGCCACGCCCAGTTCCTGTAACCAAACCAACTCTCGCTTCAAACTTGCAGAGCGCACCACACGTGTCTGCCGAGTATGTCCTCGGAACCAGCTGTTGCATCCCCCTCTGTCAGATCTCACTCCCCCCCTCCTCGCATTGTCTCTGACTCATCCCTGCGTCTCCGACACAGAATATTTACCTGAAAACCTGCTTTGTAATGAGTTCCTTTAAGCACTGCCTGGAAAAGATTTCCGACTGTTTCGAGGTCAACCCCGGTCCTTCTCATCAGAGATGGGGAGCACCGGAGGGGTGGGGGGTGGGGGGGGGCAGAACGGGGACAGGATTGTTAAATAATTCCTTCCCTTCCCCCCAAGTTCAATGGGGAGATTGCAATGCAGGCAAGTCCTCAACTTATGACTGCAAGCCAAGCCCCCAAATTTCCACGACTCGGCGAGACAAGTGAGGTGAATTTTGCTCCATTTTATGACCTCTCCTGCCACCGCCCTTCAGTGAATCCCTGCAGTTGTTAAAACAACATGGTCGTTAAGTGAATCAGCCTTCCCTGGTCACAAAGGTCACAAAAGGGGATCATGTAACCACGGGACACTGCAACCGTCATAAATATGAGACAGATGCCAATTATCCAAGTTTTGATCACATGGCGGGGGGGGGAACGCTGCAACGGTCCTAAAGTGTGAAAAACCGTCATAAGTCACTTTTTCCCCCAGTACCATTGTAACCTCAAATGGTCACTAAGCGAACTGTTGTAAGTCGAGGACAACCTACACATAGCCAAGCTTCTTCTACAAGTTGCTGGATCGGTTCCCGCAGAAGAGGAGGGAAGGTTGTCCATTTGTTGTTTTGTATTCTTCTAACCCGTCTCTGATGTCAATCAGCCAAGCAACATGTGATGACCCAAAGGGGCGTGACACAAAGGCAACACAGTCAGATAATCAGTAGGAATAACTCTACTAGCTCCAACTTTGCCTCCAGTATCCTGGTTACCTTCTGGGCTGGAGAAAAACTCTCCCGGGAACAGCCTTGGGCTGCAGAGAATCAAGTCCAAAACATGTTCAACACAAACTGTAACTTAAAGTCCAAACAAGCCAAATTGAAGCAATTAGTTTGGCAGGGCAGGAGCAAGAATTTCAGACTTGAAGGCATGGCAAAACTCACACGGTTGGGAAGATGCCAGGAACACAGATAAGCAAAATCAACACAAGATAAAGTACGTTTGCTTCCAGCAGCTGCTGCAGTCAGCCTTCAAGTTCTTTTAAATTCTCATTCCCAGGTGTGGCTAATGAAGGGAATCAAGGCCCTTACCTCCCCTGTAAGCCATGCAACCCTGTTGCTCCCTTCTCCGTTCCTCCCTGCATGCCCTAGGATGAAGAGGGGGTGGGCCTGGATCTTCCTCTGAACTCCCTCTCCCTTGTTCTACCTCTGCCCTGCTCTGCCCAGCTGGACTTTGTCCTTCCCCAGTTTCCTCCACAGCCAACGGAGCCACACTCCCACTCCCTGTCAGCTATTCGTCTTCCTCCTCGGATTCAGATTCCGACAGGGGCAGGACACAATGATCTTGCCTAGAACCAAGACTTGATCCCACAGCAGCTACCAAAGATTAAACTCAGAAGTCCTGCTAAATAATAATCAGGAAGTTTTTTTAACTCTTGCTCTTTCTCCAGAAAATCTGTTTATCAGCCTCTTTGTGATGATACAATCCTCTGCTGGGGCACAAAATGTGATTTGGACATGAAGGCCAACCCTTAGTGGCAAACTAGCTGAGAAAATAGAAATATTAAGGATTACAGCAGGGTTTCTAGACCTTGGTGACTTTAAGATGGGTGGACTTAAACTCCCAGAATTCCACAGGCCAGCCACGGTGGCTGAGGGATTCTGGGAGTTGAGATCCAACAAGTCTTAAAGTTGTTTTTTCCCCCCCAAAATGGCAACTAGATTTCCCTATGTTTTTTGCTTGAAGACGTTTCGCTTCTCATCCGAGAAGCTTCTTCCGTTCTGGCTGACTTCTGACTTCCACTAGAATGGAAGAAGCTTCTCGGACTGAGAAGCAAAATGACTTCAAGCAAAACCAAAGTCCCAGTTGCCTTTTGAAAAAGCCTTTGGGACAAGCATGACTTGGCACGATCGAGAATCTCCGCAGACATTGAAGTTGCCAAGGTTGGGACCCCTGGTCCAAGCGAAAACGGACCAAGATATTCAGCCTCATCCCGGAGAAACATCTCACCTTCTGCTTCGACCTCCTCGGCCATCTCTTCCTCGTTGCCGCTGGTGCCCGACCCGTCCTGGCCCATCTCTTCGTCCTCGGTCACCGGGGGGAAAGCTCTCTCCTCGTTTTGGATCGCAGAGCTCTTTTTCTTCTTTCTCCGAGAGTTCCTTTCTCTCTCCTGAGCAAACCACAACAGAAAAGGAAGGTTATGAATCTTGGTGGATTCCCCATCTTGTCGCCACTGGCAGCAAAGACGAACTATTTTGTTAAACACACACATACACACAGACACAAGGAGGTTGAAACAGCCATCCTGGAAAATAGCAAGGGCTGAAAGGAGTACAAATTGCCTTCCAGGGACCTGGGATTGGAGAAAATGTTTTATATAGCAATGCAAAACACACAAAAAATATGACAAACCTAAAAAGAAAGAAGCTAAGATTCCGAGAATTGGCTTAAAATAGCCATTTTTGCAAGTATTTTTGCTAAGTTGGCTCGACCTCCCCAACATCACAACTTCTTACAGCATCAACTGCACCGCAGAAGGAAGGAAAAGAGTTACACAACCACACCTACAGGAACACCCACAATTGCATGCCTGCTGTTACTACTTCGGTCCATCGCATTAATATTACCCATGAAGTGTGTGTGTGTGTGTGTGTGTGTGTGTGTGTGTGTGTAAAATACTTTGAAATTTTTACTCCAGCTTTACAAAAAGACCTAGAATTCATCATTTGGCACCTCTGCTCACTATAATTCTGATCTCATCCTGGGAAGATGCAAGGAGAGACAGTTTGGTCTAGTGGTTAAAGCACCAGGCTAAAAACCAGGAAATGGTGAATTCTTGTCTTGGGCATGAAAAAGAACGAAGAAAAACCCTGGCTTGGTGATTTTCTTAAATTTTTTGCAAAAAACTATTGGACTAAAATACATACATGGTTATTAAAAAATGTTAAACCAGAAATATTTTTGTTGGATATTTTACCCAAACCGTATAATAAAGGGAACATGTATCTAATCTTACATGTCTTGGCAGCAGCAGGAATTGTGTTTGCACAACGTTGGAAAAATGAAGAGATCCCTTCAGACGAAAGCGTTATAAATAAAAATATTAGAATGCGCAGAGAGGGACAGATTGACAGTAAAAATAAAGGAGAAGGTAGAAAACAGAATACTTCCTAACATGGGATTTGTTTTACCAATGGCTCACTAACAGAAACAGAGGTTAGAAAGTAAAAAAAGATTAAGAGAATGATAGATAAACTAATCTTATTATTACTATGAGTTTATTATTAATGATACCTTTTCCCTGAAAATATGACCTGCCCTGAAAGTAAGCCCTAGCTTGATTTTTACACCTGTGCTCAATATAAGCCCTACCCCCCCCAAATAAGCCCTAATTAAGATCCCACCCACTCCATAGTGGACGGGTAAAAATTAAACTGGGGTGGGTGGAGCTGCCCTACTACTTACCTTTGGACAGTTGTAGCCCGGTCTCGCACACCCCGACACCTGCCTCGCTGGCCGATTCCTTCTGCAGCCGGCAAGGCTGGCAAGGCTTTCCTGAAGGCCTCTGCAGCTGGTAACAAAGCTCTGGATCGATCCGGAGCTATTATCGGCTGCAAAGGCCTTCAGGAAAACCTTTCCAGCCGCAGAAGGAGTTCCTGAAGGCCTCTGACAGAGAAAAGGAGGCTGGGAGCGACGCGTGCAAGTGAGATTAGTCAGTGGAGGATATCCCCTGAAAATAAGACCTGGTGCCTTTTCTGGTGACAAAAAAAAATAAATAAATTACAAGACAGGGTCTTATTTTCGGGGAAACACTGTAATGTATCTTATGATCACTATTATGCTTATCATTTTGTTATTCCAAACTAATCGTTCCTGGACAACACGCTGTTCCGATTTTTTAAAAAAACATTGCTTTCCTCTTCTTTTTGCTTTTCTAACGTGGGTTTTCTCTTGGAATAAACTCGAATAAAATGGGGAAGAAGAAAAAACAAACAAAAACCCAAACAACGCCGGATTTCATGGGCACAGGAGAGCCTCGGCTGAGTTTGAACTCCTGCCAGACACACCATTTGGATAAGTGCACATTATCAGGGCTGCTTGATGATGTGAACACAAGCCGCGGCAACGCTGCCGTTACTATGGCGAAGCGGTCCCGGGCGCGTCCGCCTCTTCCTTGCGTCCTGGGTGACTCATGCCAACCCTGAGGGAGCATCGAAAATGAACAACTGGGGAACCAGCTTTGGAGGGCACGCTGTTCTCTCCCAAAGGCTTTCCGCTTGGAGCACGGAGGGTCAAGGCAAAAGAGGGATTTAAAATAAATAAATAAAACCATCAACTTGAAATTAAAAATCACGGCGCTCCAGATGTGACCCGGGAACTGCACGGTCCAGGATGAAGGTGAAAGGCAGGGTAGGAAATGCTTCCCCAGGTTAATCGTCCTCATTACTATGAGTTTATTATTGAATGATTATGTATATTATGATTACTATGTCAGGTCAAGAAGCAACAGGTGGAAACTAATCAAAGAGAGAAGCAACTTAAGAGCTAAGGAGAAATTTCCTGACCGTGAGAATAATAATTAAAAAGTGGAACAACTTGCCTCCAGAAGTTGTAAATGTTCCTACACTGGAAGTTTTTAAAAAAGATGTTGGACAACCATTTGCCTGAAGTGGTGTATGATTTTCCTGCCTAGGCAGGGGGTTGGACTAGAGGACCTCCAAGGTCCCTTCACAACCTCTGGGGACCAGGGAAAGGTTTGCCCGACCTGGAGGAGCGTGGCTTCCAAAGGAAGGTCTGCAATCCTCGACTTCAGTCAGAGCTGACGAAGCTCCTTGGATGAGAAGCAAGACTTTTTCAAAAGAAGAAAGTCCAACTGCGTCTGGAAAAGATATCTTTGGGACAACCATGACCTGATGGACTTCTAGCTATACAATTTGGGATGAGCCCCACTGGAGTGGAGTGGGAGTAGGATTGGATTCCCAGAGGAAAAAACCTGGAACCATTTGCACCACTCACGGGACGCCAAAGACACAGATAAACCTCCAAGTGGCCTCAAGGACCCTCTCAAAGGATGCAAACGACCAGCTGTCTGCAAGGAGTATTAAAATCCTTCCTTTCCCCACCATCCAAGTCAGAGCTGAAGAAGCTTCTTGGAGGAGAAGTGAAAGGTCTTCAAAAGAAAAAACAAGGCAGGTCCAGTTGCCTCCTGAAAAAAAAAGCGCCGTTGGGTATTCCCAAGCCACCTTTCCGACCTGTTTTAAACTGGGTTTGAGTCCTTCCGTTCGATGTATCTTTCGCCCAGCCCCTCCCGCTGGGTTGTGTGCACGCGGAGTAGCAAATGTTTAGGAAAAAAACGGGATGCTAGATTAACCCAAAGCTTTTTGTTCCCTCCCTCTCTCTCTCTCTCTGTTCAGATTTATGACATCTGTTGTTATAGCAAACAATAGCGTGGGATTTTTTTTTTCCTTTTTAAGAAAGAAAGAAAGAAAGAATAATGGCAACGCAAAGCAGCTGAGCCGTTCATTGTTCTTTTGCCAAAAAAGAAAACAAGAGAAACTCCAAAAAAAAAAAAAAAACTGCTGGTCTGAAGAAAATGATCGAGACAGGCGAATGACATCAATCAGGAAGATGCAGAGAAGAGAGAGAGAGAGAGAGAGAGACCTTTAACAGCTACTCCTCGACATACGACCATAAGGAAACCGCCCCGTTACAGTTGTAAATCTTAAAGGTCTAAAAAAAAAAAGATATGTTCAAATGCGCTGTGAGTTTGGAGCCTTTACACCCGTGTAAGAGACCCCACTCTACCTGTCCTTGAAGTCAATGAACTCTTACCTGGTGCCAATTCATCTAGCCTGCTACTAACTCAGATTCCTAGTCTGGTGAATGGCTAGTCTAGGGAAGAGAAGGACCAGGGGAGACATGAGAGCAGCCTTCCAATATTTGAGGGGCTGCCCCAGAGAGGAGGAAGGGGGTCAAACTATTCTCCAAAGCACCTGAAGGCCAGACTAGGAATAATAATGGATGGAAACTGACCAAGGAGAGATTCAACCTGGAAATAAGGAGGAATTTTCTGACAGGGAGATCAACCAACCCATGGAACAGAAGTTGCCTTTGGAAGTTATGGGAGCTTCATCAATGGAGGCTTTCAAGAAGAGATTGGATTGCCTTCTGCCAGAAATGGTGTAGGGTCACCTGCTTGGGCAAGGGGGTGGGACTAGATGACCTACAAGGTCCCTTCCAACTCTGTTAATCTGAATCTATCTAAGACGATCAAAGATCTTGAGACTAAAACACAGGAAGAGCGGTTGCAGGAACTGGGCCTGGCTAGTCTAGTGAAGAAAAAGACTAGGGGTGACAGGAGAGCAGCCTTCCAGTATTTGAGGGAAGGGCTACCCCAGAGAGGAGGAGGGGGTCAAGCTGTTTTCCAGGGCCCCTGATGGCCAGACAAGGAATAATGGGTGGAAACTGAACAAGGAGAGATTCAATCTGAAAATAAAGAGAAATTTTCTCACAGTGAGGGCAATTAACCAATGGAACAACCTGCCACTAGACGTTGTGGGTGCTCCATCACCGAAGGTTTTTAAGAAGAGAAAGGATAAGTGTTTGTCTGAAATAGTATAGGGTTTCCTGCTTGTGCAGGGGGTTGGACTACAGGACCTCCAAGGTCCCTTTCAACTCTATTAGTCTGTTATTCAAAAGGAACGGGTGCTCCATCACCGGAGACTTTTAAGAAGAGACTGGACAACTTTTTGGTCTCGAATGGTAGAGAGTTTCCTGCCAGAGCAGGGGGTTGGACTAGAAGACCTCCAAAGTTCCCTTCCGACTCTGCTATCCTGAAAAGCAGATCTCCCCAAGCGCAGAATTTAAACCCTCCGTTTCAACACCTTGAACCTTTTAACCCTGAGTGTTCAGCCTGTTTTCCATTCAAGCTCCAGAACTCAAGAAGAGGCTACTATTCAAATCCTAGGATGCTAATAGGGTTGTTTTTTAAAAAAAATAAAAAAATCTGCTTTTTTTGCGTCATCACCACCCTCTGGTACGATCCTGGCATTCGGCGGCATTTGGTGAGGACTGTAGAGGGCTGGGACCAAGCCGAAGGAATCCAATTAGCCGATTTCCCCAGGATGCTCGTACGGTTTTCCAAACGGGGGGACTCACCCCCCCCTCTAC